CAGGGGTCACTGGGGGTATGTGTGGAGGGGGAGGTATTTGTGAATCTCCTGCATTGGGCAGGGGGGTTGGACTACATGACCCTCGAGGTACCCTCCTATTCTATGATTCTAGGCCCTGTTCCAGGACCACTGTGTGAGACACAAGGTTACCAACTCCAGGTTGGGAAACTCCTGGAGATTATAGGGGGGAGCCTGAGGAAGGTGGAGCTTGGAGAGGGGAAGGAGATCAGCAGGGAAATGATGCCATAGTTATGGTTGCCAGCTTCCAGGTGGGGCCTGGAGATCTGCCAGAACCGTAACCAATGTCCAGACGACAGGGATCAGTTCCTCTGGAGAAAATGGCTGCTTCGGAGCGTGGACTCGATGCCATTACATCTCTCCTGAAGTCTCTCCACTCCCCCAAACCCCGCCCTCCTCAGTCTTCACCCCCAAATCTCCAGGGATTTCCCAACCCACAGTTGGCAACCCTAGCACCATGCTGCCCACGGGCGCCATGTTGGGGACCCCTGAGTAAATGGAATAGCGTAATATAAACCAAGTGCGATTAACCACTGATGAAACGAAGCAGACCCAATACTGGCTGGTGCCTGGGCGGTCCTCCCTGGCACGCCTTCTATCTGGGACACTCGGAGGAAGGGCACAACACAAATATGACGAAACAAGTCAAATGTCAGTGGAGAGGCAGTTTGGTGTAGTGGTTGAGTGTGAGGGTTCAAATCTGGGAGAACCGGGTTTGATTCCCCACTCCTCCACTTGCAGCTGCTGGATGACCTTGGGCAAGCCATGGTTCTGACAAGAGCTGTTCTCTCAAGGGCAGCCCTCGAAAGAGCTCTCTCAGCCCCACCTGCCTCACAGGGTGTCTGTTGTGGGGTGGGGAAGGAGTTTGTAAGCCACTCTGAGACACCTTTGGGTAGTGATGGGCGGGGTATAAACCCAATCTCCTCCTCCTTCTCCTCCTCCTCCTGGATGATCGACAGAAGACATAAACGAATCCAGCGGCCATCTTGCTTGATCCCAAGGAAGCATCTGTCATTTCCGGGATCTCACCCATGCTGGAGAAACGATGGCTGCACCAGTGAGCAGGAGGAAAGAGAAACCATGCACAAGGTGAAAAGATTTCCTGAAGTTTTCAAAATCAAAAAACACGTTTCATTGTAGGCTCATTCAGGGGACATTCTAGGGAGTTTTTCAGTGTCTACCTTGAGCAGTGAAACACATTTTTGTTGTTGTTGAGTTGCACAGTCAAGTCCGACTCTTCGCGACCCCATGGACCACATCACGCCAGGCCCTCCTGTCTTCCGTCGTGCTCCGAAGCTTGCTTAATTTCATGTCCGTTGCATCGATGACACTGTCTAACCATCTCAACCTTTGTCGTCCCCTTCTTCTTTCACCTAGGGATCTAGAAAACCTCAGTAAACCTTCTCACCTTGCACCTGGTTTCTCTTTCTTCCTGCCTACACCGAAACAGCAGCTTCTGACGCAAGACCTGAGACTTTGCAACAGGCGCCCCCCTTGCAAATAATAAAGGATGGGAGGGGGGCATGAATGCAGCACATATGCAAGCCAGACATAACCCAAACACACACAGCGGGGGTCTAAAGGCAAGGATGCGCCCTTTGGGGGTCCCTTCCTGACCCTGTTGAGCTGCCTTAGATCTCCAGCTGCCCAGACACAACCAGCTGTCTGTGAAGTTCGACTCTTCATCTGTGGAATAACAAAGGATCCGCTCTGTGGACTGAAGGCTTTCTTCATTGGGGGGGGCAGGGGGGACCTCTTTGTGATGTTTAAGCAGACGATCTCCATCAAAGGGGACTGTCATGAAAGGGTGAGCCAGTCAACAGCTGCCCTTAAGCAGACATAACGGCTCTCCCTTTAATTCATTAGCACCCTGCCCCACCACATGAACCTGTGCATCACCCCGACCTTTGCTGTCTGTCTATAAATGTCGGACTTTCTCTAAGGAACTGTCTAATAAGGCAGGGATGGGTTCTGCATGATCCTGTAAGGAACCAAGGGCGTTCATGGTGCTGTAGTACTAAAACATGACTGGGGGGGGGTCTCTGTCCCAGGAAACCATGGGACTTTTTGGGATGGCCCCGTGAGGAAGGGACTGGGTCGCCACAAGGGATCAGCTCACAATTATTGTGTCTGGTCAGATCTGAGATGAGCCAACTGGACTCAGTTTGGACTGTGGCAGAGGAGGAAGGAGGGGGTTATCTTGCTTGGGGCAACCGAATACCTCGAGCCAGCTAATGATGGGCTAAGAATGCGGGAACTTCGACATCTGGAGATGGTCAGCCTCTGAATCCTAGAGCCAGGAGGCAACAATGGGGAAGGTCTTACCCTCTATTGCCTTGTGGTTGGCCCCCCAGAGGAACAGTTTGGCCACTGTGTGAGGTGGGATGCTGGACTAGATGGACCACTGGTCTGATCCAGCAGGGCTCTTCTGATGTTCCAATGAAGGCCTCAGCCTCTGTGCCCTGTTGTTGGCCCTCCAGAGGAACTGGTTGGCCACTGTGTGAGAGAAGATGCTGGACTGGATGGACCACTGGTCTGATCCAGCAGAGCTCTTCTTATGTTCTTATGAAGGCCTCGGTCTCTCTGCCCTGTTGTTGGCCGTCCAGGGGAACTGGTGAGCCACTGTGTGAGACAGGATGCTGGACTAGATGAACCACTGGTCTGATACAGCAGGGTTCTTCTTAGGTGTTCATATTCCACATTCTGAGGCAGTATGCCCCGTGCCAGGAGGCAACATCTAGGGAAGGCCATGGCCTCTATGCCATGTTGTTGGCCTTTCAGAGTAACTGGTTGGCCACTGAGCAAGACAGGATGGTTGGACTAGATGAAGCACTGGTCTGATGTAGTAGGGCTCGTCTCTTGTTCCTAACAACAAGAAGAATACAGCTGTTGGAAAATCCATAGTTGGTTGACTGTCACAAAATGATGGCTCCTGACTATCACCTTCACATGGGCCGAATAGTGGTCTTTCAGTTCACTTCCAATGCACTTTAGCAATCATTTGCAAGTGGATTTTGCCATTTCACAAAGTAAAATTCAGTTGCAAAGTGTGTTGGAAGTGGATTGAGAGCACATTAGCATTTGTGAAAGATCAGAAGCAGCTTACCTTTGAATACTAGATGCTTCTGGGTGACAAAAAGCAAAGGTGGGCCCGTTTCCTTCACCACCCACCATTAAACTTCTCTGAAGAATCCCAACTCAAGAATCTTAGATCAAGAGGAGATTAGATAAACATTAGGCGACACACCCCTAATGTAGCCAATCCTCCAAGAGCTTACAGAGCTCTTCTTACAGGGGCTACTGTAAGCTCTTGGAGGATTGGCTACATTAGGGGTGTGTCGCCTAATATGCAAAGGAGTCCCTGCTACAAAAAGAGCCCTAAACATATGGAGCAGAGGTCCATTAGTGGCTATTAGCCACAAGGTCTAGAGGTAATACTATGGCTGGGGCAGTGATGCTCTGTCTTCTTGGTGCTTGGGGTAGGGCAAGAGTGGGAGGGCTTCTGGAGTTCTGGCCCTGCTGGTGGACCTCCTGATGGCACCTGGGTTTTGGGCACTGTGAGACACAGAGGGTGCGTTCAGACGGGGCATTTGCAATGGTATAGGTGCCGGTTGGAATCGGTGTACTTACCGGCGTTCACACGGCGAACATCTGCCTTCCGTCCCTAACCGTTGCAAAGAGCTTTACACTGTTGTATTCTGCCACTAGGTCCCCAAGTGGTGGTATCCTGAGTACAACTGTTGTAATCACTTTACCCCCATCTGATCGATCTCCAACGTTGTAGAGCCACTTCTGTTCGGAAGCCCGAGGCTTCCGATTTTCGCCCGCCATTTTTTTTTTAGGTTGGCAATATGCGCTTGGGCAAAGCTTCGCCCCGCGTTTGTTTAAAAAAAAAAGGTCCTTAGTTTAAGGTCTCGAAGGACTCCGAGACCTCAGGGAGGCCGGTTTGGTCTTTAAACTTTAAAGGTAAGTCCTTACCTTTAAACTTTAAATGTAAGACGGGGTGTTTTGCGCATGCGTGAAGATCGCCATTTTGTGGATGGCTGCCTATGCGCATGCTCAAACTGAGTTTAAAAAAAAAACAGCTGACGCCCGCCGTGTGTGAACGGGCATACAGCGATGGGCTCCGCAGACAGGAGGTAAGTGTGATCGCGTTTCAGCCGGCATAAACTGCACCGGTTCCAACCGGTACAGTTGATGCTGGCTGAAATGCCCCGTTTGAACGCACCCAGAGTGTTGGACTGGAGAGGCCACTGGCCTGTTCCAACATGGCTTCTCCTATGTTCTTATGTCTGGGGCAGTGATGCTCTGTCTTCTTTGTGGTTGGGGGGCAAGAGTGGGTGGGCTTCTGGAGTTCTGGTCCAGCTGGTGGACCTCCTGATGGCTCCTGGGTTTTGGGCACTTGTGTGACACAGAGTGCTGGACTGGATGGGCCACTGGCCTGATCTAACATGGCTTCTTTTATGCTCTTATGTTCTTATGTCTGCCTCTTTTTGGAAACAGGATGCTGTAATGGGACGAACCTTTGGTCCAATATAGCAGAGATACTATGTTACAAGAACCCAAACTCAGTGTGGGGTCACGTCAGAGTACTGAATGACAGAGAGTCGATTCAGTTCCCCACTTGAATTCCAGTGGCTGACCTCCGGCCTGTCATTCTCTCTCTCTCTTTCAATCTCACCTACCTCACAGAGATGTCGTGAGGGTAAGGAGGACCGTGTATGCCATTCTGAGCTCCGTACAGGCAGGGTGAGATAAAAAGTGCAACCAAGAGACGGTGATCGGGTATTGCAACAGTTTACAGATGGCAAAAAAAAAAAAAATGGCAGCAAATTTGGTCCAAAATAATCATCTTGGGGTTCTTGCAGTAATAATGGCTGGGGGGGGGGGGG